CACATAATGTAGCACCCAACTTCATCTTCATCGTCAACGATCGTATCTTCATCATCGTCATTGATAAAATCGGACGGCAGAGCAAACGAGAACAAGCTCGGATGAGAATACGTAGCAGTATGCATGGGATCAGGAGCATAGTATGAGGTACTTGTACTGGTAGGGTACGCCGTATTGTAACTTAGCCCGTACGTCGGGGGCTGATAGTACATTGATGTTGGATACGGGCCAAGATACGCATGCTGAACTGGTGGGCTAAGATTCATGGAGGCAATCGGTTGGGCCATGTCTGGCCCACCAGCCATATACGGCCCAATACTGCCCGCAGGAGGCGGAGCATCTCCAAAATTGTGCTCGCCGGGGTTGGTAGGGACACCGCCGCCATTTGCGGAATTACCACTTTGCCCTTTCTTCTTCTTCTTTTTCTTCTTCTTTTTGGCCCCAGTACTTGCTGTGTTTCCGCCGCCCACCACCAACAGTAGGACTAGCACCGCTTTCTCCACCACCTTCGTTACCTTCGCCATCCTCTGCAGTCGGATTCACCGCCGTCGTCAGCATCATCACCGCCGTTGGTTTTATCCGGTTGATCATGATCACCATCTTGTTCATGCTTATGATCTGCGGACTGCTTCTCACTGTTACTACTACTCTTCTTTGATTTCCCGGACTTTTTCGATTTCTTAACTTCCGGCCAAAGCTCGGCGTGCTTCCCTGACTTCTGCAGCTTCTTCAGCAGAGTCTCCGCCTCCACGTTGCCGGTAACAGTCACTTTGTGCTGCTGCGAATCAATATCCGTCGTGTAAACCCCTGATCACGTCAATTAATCAAAACACGAACGATCACTTACGGATTAATTTAGAGAAGACAATCGCTAACGAAGTAAAATATTAGAACATCCGTGTCTAATAACCATTTGGTTTTTAGTTTTTTGACCGATAAAAAAAAAAAAAACGCGTGGCAAGAGGGACGAGGGAGAAAAGAAGGAGAATGTATAAACGTACCATCGATGTTCTGAAGAACTTTCTTGACTTTCCTCTTGCATCCTTCACAGTGGATTGAGACTTTCAAGACCCATGTCTGCAAAACGGAGGAGATGATCAACTTATAATTTGTGAAGAAAAAAACTTGAAAAATAATGAGAAAAAAAGAAGAAAATATTTGTACTAATTACCTGGTATTTTAAGGTTCCAGGAGCTTCTTCAGCCGGTTTTGCCATTGATGAGAGAGTGAGAGGAGAGAGAGGAGAGGGTGATGAAGTGGAGAATAAGGGAAGTGGGGAGCCTTGGGGGAATGTGTTATGAGGTTTAAAGAGTGCGAAGGAAGCATCTGATGTGGTCATGGTGGGGATGCCACGTCAACTTCCATACTCCCAATGAACCAGTGCTGCTCTGACACGTCATCAAACTCACGTGACAATGTCACGTGACCATCCCCTGAAGACCCCACCACATCTCAATTAACTGACTTCAATTTCACACTCTCACAAGCTCACTGATTCGCATGCGTAAATTTCATATTTTCACCTGAAGGTTATGAAAACCTAATTCAAACCAATCAAGTACAATATCTCAAGTTAATCACGTAATTACGTTGTTGAAATTTTCTCATCTCACAGTCCGGCACAGTGACATTCATTGACAAACAACATACAGTTCCAGATTTCAATCCAAACTCTGCCCGTGAGGAGAGAGGAGAACCTATTGATTGATGATCAGCTTTGTACTGTGACTTTTGCTGCATCTTTTGCTATCCTCAATAAGATCGGACGGTCTTTATACTTTTTCAAGGTTCTGATCATCGACTTTTCCTGCCACTGATATAATTGACTGAGATGGGCCCTCAGCTAACCTACCCTCAAAGGATGCTGTTCAGAACTTCCGAGGCCTAGAAGTTTCTTGCAAGTAATCCAGGAAGCATGGCTATGAACAATCTTTTCTGCTCTCGAGCGAATCTACATTGCACCGTCGGAGAGGAGTTTGCCTTGTAATTGAATGTATACGTACAAAACTTATACGTGTGATATATGAACAAATGTTTATACACTCAAGTAGAATCTGTTCGTAATCAGATATATACGTTCAAGTCATGTAATGAATAAGATAAAAACGTTCTAGGCATGTAATCCAGAATGCAGGACTATGAATGATCGTCATTGTTTTTGAGCTAATCTAAATTGAAAAGGAATATCTATTTTGTAACCAGCTGTATAAACTAATATCATATTATTAAAGAAAATATGAACAAAGTGCTATACAACCAATTACATTTTAGAATAAACCTGATAATACCGCAGATTCTCTCGATAAAACTGATTTTGCATTCAAACAAGTTTTTATTTTTTTTCATTCTCTCAATAAAACGGTGAATAGGGTATTCTACCACGTTCTAGAATCAACTAAGGCTGCCCTCCTTTTTCTTTTTTCTTTTCTGATCAGAAAAATGCTGCCCAGCCTTAGGAAGGGCTTGTAAACCTTTATATATAAAACCAACAATATTTTTTGGGGTCACAAGTTTTATCAAAATATTTGGACAAAAATACTTTTAAAATAAAAAATGTCAAAAGCAATCCAAAATAATACACCAAATAATACAAGCGTACTTTCATCATTTCAACAGTGTATTTTTAATAATTAATTCTTTTTGTACATTTTTTTTTTAATTTTTTAATTAATATCTCATAACAGGCTAATAATAATGTTATTCAATCAGTTGTTCATTAACTATTATTTTCTCTATTTTTAAACATGTTCAAAACATCTTAAGAGGCGTATAATGCCGGTTATAAGAAAAGTCTTTCACACGTGCATAATAATGTAATTAAATTAGTTGTCAAATGATTATTATTATTATTTTATTTTTTTTTAACAAACGATATTGTCTATACTAAGGGGAAGGGGGTAGGCTTAACCTCACGATGAGCTAGCAATAATAAGATTCAATCAGTTGTTTTTTTAAATATTATTTTCTCTATTCTTAATGTAAATTCAATAGAATGTAGATGGAAATCGAAAGACCGATTTTATTATGTGAATTCAGCTGTTTTGATTGGTTTATGAGGGGTTTTTTTTAGCATAATATAAGATTATTCATTTACTTCAAATATTTGACTTTTCTTTTGTCAATTCATGCATATAAATACATTTAAAATATGTAAGTTGTGCGTAGCATGCTGTGATTCAAAAAATATCTTTTGTACGTGAGTAAGCGAGTGCATGAAGGCTAGTAACATCAGAAACTAAAAAATTTGTAGCAGTGGTAGGAGAGAAACAAAAGCATGAACACCAATGGCATGGCATAAGTCAATTATGTAGTCAGCTGAAGCATTCTTCTCTATAGATATATGAGTGATTTTACGTCTCAATATTTTTTTGATAGCTTCTTTGCGGTTATTTATGAGATTGTAGAGCTGAGTGCGGAATTAAAACAGCTTGTTGGATCAAAGTAACAACAACAAAAGAGTTACATTCGAAGTTACATAGCAAACCTCCAACACTTATGTGGCTAAACGGATCTTACAACTTCTACCAGTATTAATTTTGTATCTGCCCGTTGGCGGACGGATTCAATAAAATGAGATGATTTGTCTAGGAGGCTTCTTGTAAGAACACTTGTTGGCATCGTACCAAAACCAAATGGAATTTTGAGGCCAGAGAGGAGTCTGTTCATTTGCAATATTGCATGAACAACAATTGTACAAAGTTTGGTGGGGTGTAAAGTGCAAAAGTAATTGAGATAGAAAAGACTAGGCAACTTCCTTTACTCTGGGCCATTGCCATTTGCCACTATGCCTTGAGTGAACTTTTGATGGCGTTTTGGACTATCCTCGAGATAGTATTTTATATAAAACGAGTTTATTGTAGCGTGATATGTCAGTTTAATAATATAATTTACGTAAAAAGAAGCATGCACACACAAAAGATGATATGTCAGTTTAATAATATAATTTACGTAAAGAGAAGCATGCACACACAAAAGATACAAACAACTAGAAGTTGACAGTTATTGTGGCTGCTAGTTGTACAAGTTTCTGTAAATAAAAAGGCAAAAGTGATGTATACGCATGAAAGATAACAATGGAAACATTCTCAAACACAATTGGAAAGAGATCAAAAGACTAAATTATGGAAGCACTTTTGATGAGAGATTATATTAGAAGTAAAGATATCATACATAGTCCGTCTATGGAATAAACATCTATCCAATTTTTATTGAAGAATGAAATGTCAATGCGTCATCAATATTGTATTCATACTTAGTGGTGCAACTTGGCTCTTACTCAGTGTATTGCGCTCAAGACGGATCTCTTTATTGGGCTAGTTGAGACATGTTTTTCATTGGGATGTGCTTGGTTTAACTAACATAATGACGTATGAGTTGTATTTGTTGGCAGGCTCTATGCTTTAGCATCGAACTATCGGATCATACCCTGATTCAGTTATACATCAAGATAACAAAACGTTTGACAAATTATCAATCCATTTTCGACAACATTGACACAATATCGACCGAAAGAACGAACGTCCTACACAAAGACTCTCAATCGTGTGTGTGTGCATCTATACAAAAAATTCCATGTTGTCACAGCAGACAATACAGTAAACGGGTTTCACTTTCTGCACTTTATATGAACCAATGGATTCGCCAGGTCATGAGCACTAGAGTGACTTGTGACACTACTTGGCACTCCAAATCGTTCCTGCTTTATCAAATAATATTCATCCAATCACAGAAAAGAAATCAACTAACTTAATCACTACAACATCCTAATTAATGCAGTCCAAATAATCACGGAAAATGACTCGACTTCCTTTTCGACATGACACCCTCGACATTTGGAAAAGTTGAGGTTACATGCCCCCGGCTCATACACTCTTCTCACCTCTCTACCGCGTGAGGAGACAGTAACAGAGTGTGAAACGTGGGCATGGAAGTCTCTCTCCTGCTTATATCAAGTTTAAACAGATTGATATGTAAATTATGAACTCAAAAAATCGAAGCTCTGGCGCAAATCATAGTTTGCAAATGCATCGAGTCATCCCTCGTTGTTGCTACAAACACAGAGTGAACCTTTTGGTTCTATGAATGACAGATTAAGTACCCAACAAGTACAATTCTAAGGTTGCTACATAAACTCTGACTTATACAAGACTTTCTTGAATAGAAGAACACCTACGATGATGGAGACAAGAACGGACAAGGCACCTTGTCTAGAAAGCCCGAATTCGGTCCATGTCAAGGGCTTTGTGACTTCAAGCAAGACATTGCGAAACTGTTCTCTTAAATCGTCTAGCGATCCAGTGTTGTCAACCACTATGTCTGCCTTGGTCCTTTTCAAATCGAGTGACATCTGAGCATTTATCCTGTTTCCAGCATCATCCTCACGTGTTCTGTCCCTCGACATGAGTCTCCGGAGCTGAGTTTCAGGATCAACCCATACAACAATAATAGGCTTCGTCCACTTGTCCATCTTGGCCTCAAACAACAGAGGAACATCAAGAACAATAACCTTACACCCCTTCATCCATAGCTTCAAAATTTCCCAAAAGATTCCAGACGATATATAAGGAGCTAGCAGTCTACAAGAAGATAAAAACTAGATATTACAGCTCATATAATATGTAACTTGTGCTATAAGCTACACCAAAGTAAAATCTCATAAAGTGGTGCCACAACATTTTGAATTCGACGAAATCTAGGTAACTTTTACTAAAAGGAATTGGCATATTTTCGCTGTTTTTAAGAAATCACACTCATGAATTTTGACCTTGACGTGTCAAAACTTGAAGGAGTTCTATAGAACCTAAATGCTATTTTTTCCTTGGCCACTCTAGGTTTTACATCTAATGCAACACTAGCTTTTCAACAAGCAGCCAGGAAATCCAATGGTTAAAATTTATAAAAGAGTTTGATTTGCTCAACTGCACTAGGGGTAACGTTGAATCATACAGCACAAAGTATAACAAAGCAGTACTCTAAACAAAATCGCAAACGAAAACTGGAGCTAATAGCAAAGGGGTGGTACCGGTTAAGAAGTTGGCGCTTTTCGGGATTAGAGAATACAATTTGTCCCAGTTTAGGCCTATCAACTTCTCCATCAAGTTGCAAAATATCCTCTCCAAATGCTGAAACAACCTTTTTCCAGCCACCACTCCCCTTCTTCAACACATCCTGAAACCGAAAAGATACTGAGTCCATGAAAAAGCCAAAAACAACACATTGCCATCAAACTTTCATGACTGTCAAAAGCATAAATATCAGGGTTTGCTCATCACTCACTCGAGCAACAAGATCCGCATCAACGACCGGAATGCCTGTGTTCCTTGAAGAGATTGGAGACGGTACTCTTCCCGGAAGCAATTCCACCTGTCAGCCCCACGATCCTCATTCTTTCTACTTCCTCTGATCTTCTGCTCTTTCTGTTAACAATTGCTCCTACTATCAAATTACAATTTAAGCAAAATTACATAAAAATTAAAGTAAATTAACAAACTTTAGAGCATAGTACTCCATATTTTAATGAATTAGAATTTTGGGTTCCTAAAAATTAAGAGCCTTTGCTCCTCCCTGTAATTATTTCATAGGGATTCGACGTGGGAGTGCCGGCTGTGGACTACCTGATGCACTCCCCCTCCTCCTTTATGCGGGCTTAGTACCGGCAGTGTAAGATAACCTTACACAAGCGGAAGTTCTTAGTTCTCACTGTACAGATTATGAAAAAAACATAAGAATATGCAATCTTTTTGCTTAGTTTACACATAAACAAACAGAAATTTAAAAGTTAATGGTGAATTAACAGAAAACCAATTGAATGAGAAGATATGGGGGAGACATTCCCACCAATGTCTGGAAGGGGCTGACTCAGTATTTCATCTCTGCCGTTTGGCCATGTCGATTATAATTAGTCCAAGGTGAAGGATTACAAATGTGAAATCAAAATTACATCTTTTCTCCAAAGAAAACCCCAATTCTTCATAAAGGTTGTAACTTTCTCACCAATTACATCTAGCAATTCACAGATAACACTTTCAAACAGGAGGAAAGGAAAGCCAGAAGTAAAAAATGGGGGGAAACATGAAAAGTGTACCTTCCGCGGGTGTCAAATTGGTTAGGGCAACTTTGGACTTGTGGGTCTGGATCTGATGCTCAACAGCGATACAGTTGGTCGTAGTTGATTGAAGAACATGAAGGACGATTTGCTGTGGAAAAAGTGGGGACTTCGGAGTTGTGAGAGTGAGGAGAGTCGGATGAAGAGGATTTTGATGACTATAAATATGTCGTTTGATTTCTTTTGTAAGAAGCGCATCTGGTGTAGTGGTATCATAGTACCCTCCCACGGTACTGACCAGGGTTCGATTCCCTGGATGCGCATGTTTTTTATTTTATTTAGGTGAGTTTCGGGGCTGCTTCTAGAGACACTTCTGCTCAATATCGCTAAATGCAAGAGTCGAAATTCCTTTTGTACGGTTCAGAATCGTATTTAACTTACCAATTAAAATTACGGAAAATTCTTCCATGCTACGAGCATTGGATGACCTAAGTTGGTTTGGATTAATGTTTTTATTGTGGTTCAATAAATTCAGAACATATAATGCTCGTAGCATAAAAATGAAACACAAAAATTACATTAACATTTTTAGCTATTCTAGGCACCCATGGCCTTAGGAGTGCTTCCCATTAAGTACAAAAATGAGACTTCAGTAAAACTAAAAGCACTTATGATAGAAGTGTTTTAGACAAGCACCAGCGAAAGTTCCCCCGCGTGATGCTGCGGGTTTTAGAACCGTATAAAACATGTAGAAAGTTATAAATATATATACACCCAACTCCTAATTGAAATATGCACGCAACATTAAGAAAGTTTTGAAATGAGTCTTATACTATTATTTGTATTCTTGTCAATCTTCTCATAGTGAACCTTCATTTTGAACACATAAACTATTGAGAAGCACAACCCAAGAATGGTAAATGGATTTAAGTTTATTTGTATTCTTGTCAATCTTCTCATCGTAAACCTTTAGGCCAAAATCAGCTCTAATTATATAAGTTAGAGTTTCTATGTGAGTTAGGAATATTCTGGTGTGTAGAAGATGAAGGCAAAGCACAATCCAATTAACTTCAAATCAAGGGGAATTAATATTTAAAAAGTAGAACCAACAGATGAGTGAAAACTTGTGCAGCAAGTCTACATGGTGTGAAAACTTGATCCAAAATGCAGCTAAGGATGATGACTCTTTGAAACTGGAAGACGCACAGAACGCAGATAATTGGAGTGACTCGGTGAATTAGGAAACTTCACTTCTTAAATGAAGTGACTATTCTACGAAATTTAATTAATCAAACAATGATTGCCAAAAGAACAAGCAAAAAACACTTGAGAATAAGCAAAAATTTGTTGAGCAAAAACACATTCTTTAACCCTATCTCTTCTTTTGACAGTAGTGTTCACAAACCACAATCGGTGTCACTATCTCCACGTGATGTTACATTCAATGGGATAATCAAACGCTCGCGTAAACCCATTTCTTTGACTCACACAGTGTATCGTTTTAACAATTGACATACTAATTTGACCTCACTGCAAACTGTACAAACTTGTGCAATATTCTTTTCCCCTTTGTCCTGGAAAATATGGGTGCAAAATATATGCATCTTTTAAACAAAAACTCTAAATTGCACACTAATTAGAGACTTGAAGGCTAATCTGCCATTGCAGGTGGAATTGTGTTTAAGGAGAAAAGCTGCACCAAAATGCATGGACTGTTCTTGGAATTGTGCCCAACGTACTGGATCAAACCAAAGCTGATAATACTAACAATTATTACGATTTATCTTACGATTGTACAGTATGGGATGAATTTTAATTAGTAATATTAATTTCATATTTATTACAGCAGATGTAAACTCCTGTAAAACCACCCTTCTCTTAAAAGTGCATTTTTGCTCACCACCATTTAGTGTGGTGGATGCTCACCACCTTATTTATCACCGTTAAATGAGTTTGAATTTTAAGATTTGTGCTTATCCACTACACGAATCTCGAAATTCAAATTCATCTAACGGTGATAAATAAAGTGGTGAGCATACATGTGCAAAAATGCTCCCTTCTCTTAAACCCCCGGAGACTGACGCTTACATTATGTTTGGATAAAGAATTTTAAAATGATGGAAATTAAAATGACGAAATTTTATTTTCTAGAATTTGTGAATTTTCTTGTTTGGTTAACCAAAAAAAAAAAAAACAATGAAATTAAATACGGAATTTGTTATTTTTAAACTCTCAATCATAGAAATTAGGAAATGATTACTATTTATATGAAATTTAAACTTAGAAATTGAAGGTCCCAAATTCCAAGTATTTTTTTACGCAAAAATTCTAAATTTCTATATTTATGAATCCAAATAAGAGAATTGATGCATGTTAATTTATAAATTATAATTTTAATCCAAATTCTAAATTTATTTCTCTCGTACAAACATAATGTTACATCTTTTATAGAGCAAAATTCGACGAATCAAATAAAGATTGTCAAAAGTTTTGAATTTTAACATCAATTACAACATGCAGACCCAAAAATGATCCAAATCTAAGTTGAAGAATCTATTAACCCCAAATTTCGACATCAATCACAATATACAGCCTAAAAATCACCTATAAGACTCAGACGGTCAGATAAAGCCCAAGAGCTGTAGAATCGAAATATACCTATGATTTGGTGATTGAATGACTGCGAGGGCTTCAAAAAGACCCAACCTAGCGGATTCGCCGGAAAATCTTGCCGGAATCTGGGTTACAGATTGAGCTTCAGTCTTCTTCAAACCTTCACCAAATGGTACATGCAAGCCATGAAATCTTGACCTAGAAAGTAAGACTGGGCTCAGAATTGAGTTCGTGAGGTCGAAAGGATGAGAATGGTGATTGCTTTAGGTGTATCTGGGTTCGTGGGTCGGGTTTGGGGTATCGCTCGCAGTGTTGACAGAAAAATGATGTCCAGCGGAGAGTGGAAAAGAAGACAAAAATGGACGGTCCAGATTCAATCAGATTTAAATTGGACTAACATCGAAATTACACAATTAAGTCAGGGGCATTTTCGGAAGTACACTGCTTAGAACAGTGTTTCAGTGTATTTTTCAGCTTTAGTACCTATTAAACGGATGTATTCAATTGAAAATTTGATAGATTTTAATAAATTTATAAATCTATGAATTTTTATACAAGTTTAACTAATTTGTAGAGATTCTATGTAAAATTTTGATTCAATTCCTTACAAAATCTCATGGAAAGGTGTGAAATTTGTAGATGCTTAAAATACATTACAAAATCTCTCTAATTCCCTCTTACTCCTTAACTTTTCCAAATATTTTAAATTCAAATTCCAATTGAATACGCTTGAAATGTTATAAACTTTTTTAAAATTCTAATTGAATACATTCAGAATTTTAGGAATTTTAATAAACTATTTTAAAATTCTGATTGAATATACATTAAATTTCAAATAATCATTTAAAATCCTGATTGAATTCCGTTAGAATTCCTTAAAATCCAAACTGAATACTTGCAAAGTTGGCTTCACATAGAAAAGCTTTGGAAAAGGTTAGGGTCTTAGACTTAAACCCGGACTGTAGTCTTGTTAAGTTCGTCCTCCCGTCCGTTCTCGGATGAGATGACGACGAGACCGCCACCGCAGCTCAGCCCCACAACAACCCGACTCCTCTCTCTCCTAACCAACTGCTCCTCCGCTTCTCACATCCCGCAAATCCAAACCCAACTCATCCTCCTCAACCGCCACTCGGACACCGCCGTCGCTTCCCGCTTCATCGCCGCCTGCCAATCCCTCCGCCGCCTGGATATAGCCCACCGCCACTTCCTAACGCAAATCCCCAAACCCCATGTTTTCATCTGCAACTCTCTCATCAGAGCCTTCTCTCACACCCACACCCCTCAAGTCCCTTTCTCTATCTACACCCACATGCACAAAAGCTCCATTCTTCCCAACAACTTCACCTTCCCTTTCCTACTGAAGTCGATCGCCGATTCCCGGGACTTCATAAATGGGCAATGCCTGCATACCCATGTCGTGAAATTGGGTCATCTCTATGATATTTATGTGCAGAACTCGTTGTTGAATCTGTATGCGTCGTCCTCCGGCCGAATGGAGTTATGTCGAAAGGTGTTTGATGAAATGCCTCAAAGAGACGTTGTGTCATGGACGGTTTTAATTATGGGGTACCGGAATGCCGGGAATTATGACGATGCTTTGATTGCTTTTGAACAGATGCAGTTTGCTGGTGTGGTGCCAAACCATGTGACAATGGTGAATGCTTTGGCGGCGTGTGCGAATTTTGGGGCCCTTGAGATGGGGGTTTGGATACATGACTTTATAAGGAGGAGTGGATGGGAATTGGATGTGATCTTGGGAACTTCTTTGATTGACATGTATGGAAAATGTGGTAGGATCGAAGAGGGATTGGCGGTTTTCAATAGCATGAAAGAGAAGAACACATTTTCTTGGAATGCTCTTATTAAAGGGCTAGCTGTTGCTAAATATGGTAAGGAGACAGTTGAGTGGTTTGAGAGGATGGAACAAGAAGGGATCAGAATAGACGAAGTCACTTTGGTTTCGGTTTTAAGTGCTTGCAGTCACTCGGGGTTGGTTGATATGGGCAGGCAGATTTTTCGTTCCTTGAGTGATGGAAAATATGGATTTTTGCCCGGGGTCAAACACTATGCTTGTATGATTGACCTCTTAGCACGTTCGGGATGTCTCGAAGATGCTTTGAAATGCTTGAGAGAAATGCCTTTTGAGCCTACTATAACTATATGGGGGTCGTTGTTGGGCGGTGCTAAAACTCATGGGAATTTGGAATTGAGCGAGTTTGCAGCTTGGAAGCTTGTTGAACTGGATCCAGGGAATAGTGGTTACTATGTTTTGCTGTCTAATTTTTATGCAGAGATGGGAAGATGGGATGATGTTGAGAAAGTGAGGGGGATGATGAAACAGAGAGATCTTAAGAAAGACCTGGGGTGTAGTTCCGTGGAATTCGAGCGCCCGGACAAAGTTAGTCAACTATTAGCACGATAAGTCAGATCGTATTTACAATTCTTTCAATAGAGGGTTAGTTACTATTGAATTGGGTTTTTCTCCATTTTACTGACTGCATCAAGTTTATTGGATGCCAAATGATAAGCATTGCTCTGATTGCAGCCTAGTTATCTTTTCGAATCTCAGTTAAAGTCAGTTGAGATCAAATTACTTGCTGTGATATGCGCTACCCATGCGCTAACATGGGGGCGAGATTCAAACATCTTCTTCGATTGTGTTCCCATCAAGGAATGTATGGTTTGAAGGTGGTGAAGATCTGCCAAAGTGAAGCTTTCACCCGCCAAGTACTTCGATTGAGCCAGGCGTGTCTCATAAACATCAAGAACCAGAGCCAACTTGGCTTCTTATTCCTCCACAACTGCCGCGTCTGTGGTCATTTTAAGCAGAGGCTTTGTAGCTAGCTCATAGGTCAGTTTCGAGGCTGCTAGGTCGAACTTTTGGCCCTCCACCTCCGGCCACAATGATAGAACTGCCATCTTATTCGAGTCTCGGATCACCAGCGGGGTTCCCTTGGCAGCATACTCGTGGGCAATGTATTGTCTTGTTGCTCTTGTTTCTGCATATCAGAAGCCGCACGGCTTATCTTATATGCACAAATTCATGTTTCATATATGATGTGTGTCAATTTGATGTGAGGACTACAACTGCGATGCTGTATTCCAAGCCGATCACGAACTGGCTTGTATTTTAACTTCTTTTCACATGAAAGTGTTTGATTGGCTTGAAGAACCGTTTTTCAATTTTTGTTAATTTTATACTTGTGGTCACGCAACATCTTGTACTAATTAAATTATTCGGCTACAATCAATGAAGATATGAACCAAAACATCGTCTCAAACAAGTCAGCAGACCCGTTACAACAATTCACCTTCAAACTTCACCAAAATTCATACCCTCAGCCACCTTCTTGGAGGCCGGCCTAGCTGAAATCTCCTCCCACCACGCCTTGACGCGAGGACGATCGTTGACCAACGAAGACCAAGGCGTCTTCATGAAATAAAAGGTGCCCGGAAAGTGGTGCAGGTCAGCCAGGCTGTAGAAATCACCAGCTAGGAACTTGTTGCTGCTCAATCTGGCCTCGTACACGTCGAGCACCTTCTTCAGCTTCTCTAAACTTGCATCGATCACCGTTTGATCTGGTTCGATTCCTACCACAGGCTTTGCGAAAAACTCGAAAATAATCGGTTCCATTGCAGGGTTGTATTGTTGGGATTCCACTTCTGTCCATACCTTCACCAATGCAGCTTCGTTGAAGTTTTCGCGACGAATGAGATCGTGTCCCGTTTCCTTGAATTTTTCTGCTACATATGCTGTGATTGCCCTAGATTCTGGTGCGACAAATGAAGAAGTTCAAACTAAATATTTGACGATAATTTTTTCTACGGTAAGAAGAAGTGCAGGAGGCTAAAGAACAAGCGTGAAAATCGACAGCCAAGAATATTAAGCGCTTACCGAAAAGTGTGATGCCATCGTCTTCTAATACTGGAACCAGGCCAAAGGGCTGCATGAACATGATGGAGAAAATACGATGAGCTTCTATATATACAACTGCAAAAACCATGGAGATTTGTAAAATGTTTGGAAATGAACGAAAAAATGTACATTCTTGGCAAGAAACTCAGGCTGCTTGTTTTCGCGGGCGAAAAGATCGACGGGGACAAGCTCGAAATCAACGCTTTTTTCGTGGAGACAAGCGACGACGCGAGCTGTGCAGGTCGACACAGAAAGTCCATGCAGCTTGAGCACCATTGTTGGAGTAGAAGGGAGCTTAGTATTTGCCAGTGCTTAGAGATTTTGGAGAAGAAGATATGTATGCGTTGGAGGACCAAGGTCCGTATTAAATATAACTCAAGGCTCTGAGATTTCTCTTGGTTGAGATACTCTTTGTCGGTCTTTTACAGTTTTGATTTGAAAAAAAGAAAAAAAAAAAAGAACAGTAGCACAATGTTGCAGACCTAACCTTCCGTCGGATCTTTCACATGGTTGAATGAAAGCCCCGATGCAATGACGACAGAAGAATTGTTTCGCCCGATGCAATAATTATTTTGAAATGCGAATCACAGTTATTCAACACGTAAATCGAAGAATTTTGGATGCTCTGGTTAGAATATACGATTATGAGACGGATTCATGATAAAATAATAGAAGAAAACCTAAAAAGACTTAAAAATAAACTTTAAAAAAAGATATGGAGTATTTAGAAATAATAAAAGACTTAACGCCAAACGTACAAACGACATAGAATTCATACAACCAACTTTACTTAATACGACAACGCTCGGTAATAACATTTATCCAACCAGACCGCTGAAAGCAAAATGTTGGCATAATCTTCTTTGTATGAATAGATATGTGGTATGTTATGTTAGTAAGACAACGTCCGGTCAAACAAAGATTTCAGGGCACTGAATTTAAAATGATTGGCAGCATCTTGAGATTTGCTTTCCTTTTTAAAATAATGCACAAACTTCAAGTAAAAGATTACCAAAATTAACAATGATTACACAACATTTTTAGCTAAAAAACAATGATTTACAATATTCTTACGGCATCTCTGACAACGAAGTTAATTTTTTTGCTAAAATAAAAGGTGACGAGCAGTGTACAAAAGTTTTTAACCAGCTATTTTAATTTTTTTATTTCCAACAACTCTTTAATTTACATTTATTATTTTTATGCTTAGATTAATGTTGATTTCTCTATCCAACTCAATAGATTTAACTAGTTAAATCTTTTGGAGTTGTAATTGTTCAAATAGCTTGCGGGAGATGGCTAGTCCATTGAAGTTGTAATTTTGTGAATTTTACGTTAAAATAGCAAAACAACCTGTTGGAGACGCTCTTAACAAGAGTCGCTTTAGCATGTTTACTTAAGGAAAATAGGAGATGAATGAAAGAATCGAAAACTTAAAAACATGAAAGAGTAAAGAAAGATGATTTATTCGACTAGCTTCCCAAATTAATTTGCTTCCTGATTGTTAGGTATTTGATGACGTATATCAAAGAGAAATTCACAGTTTCGTGATTCCATGTGTTAATAATAAACACATAAAAAAAATTAAAAACTAAAATGATTCACGTATCCATATTTTAATAAACGTATAAAACCCAAGGACCAAGTTTTAAAATTATCACAATTAAGAAAACAAAGCATTGAAAAGCAGCATAAAACATAGGATCCCAGTTGATTCTGTGACCATCAACGGTCAATTCGCATTTCCCACACAAATGTACAACAGATGGAACCTCAGAACAAATTTAAATTTTTAATCTGCAACATAGGAAACCACACCACTAGAATTAACAACAATAACACATCGAGCTCGTAATTTTGAGGACTTTATGAGCTCGTCCTTGCAACGAGACGTTGCCAGTATCACAAACCAATCGAACACTATCATGTAAATTAAAACGCATAACAGTGCGTGATTAACTTAAATCATAGACAAACGGTACAAAACATATTCTTTATAATTAAGTTAGTTTTTTTTTTTTTTTCATTTTCTAATTTCGTTATCGGTACAGCACTCAGAAATTTACAAATTTACAGTGCTCATGTATTTACAGCATGTTTTACCCACACCCTAAAACTAGGGAGAAAAACTAGCAGAAGACCAAACAGTCAAGAGAACATTATAATGTAGGAAAGGATGGATAGTACTATATTTCACTTCAAAAGGCTTCTTCGGGCTTTACAAAGTTGTGATATTCCAGCTGGGTCATCTCTCCTCTTGTCACTGGGTCAAACTCACATCGATAGAAGCTGCATCCCAATGCAAATTGCACAACAAAGTTTAAATTCCAAACCCATCACAAGAACGACTAAGCAAATCATACGATGTACTGTATACGAGTAATGATTGAACACTGACACGGTACGGTCATCACTAAACTGCAAAAGCATCTAAAACTAATTTGTTTTCATACCTTCCATCCATGCCAAGAATCACCACAGTATTCTTTTGGTGACCAAACGCAACAATGTATTGAGAACCCTCAAGCAAGCGAAACTGAGCAACCGACCACTCTGAGCTAAAATACTTGGGCAGCACACCTGCAATACAAACCCCACCCAGATCCAGAATGACAAGCATAATTGTTGTTTACCAGTGTACATGATACACATGGTATCACGTATTAAGGAAGGAAGCACAACACACAGCCTTCATCCACACACACTCAGATTGTACTTATTTCTAACAAATATTTTACACAAGCACACATCTTGCGCCTAAATTTAGGTTTAAAAATCTCACACCGTCCCAGTGAAAATGCATCACAACCTGTGCTTTATTGGGTATTCAGGATTCGCTAGTTTTTCAGCAAATGGTACTGGAAATTAAGATAAAGCAAAATTTAATCCTGTCAACATGATGCTAGACTTTGCTGATAAAAGTTAAAGTGCCACTGAGCATATACAAATGTAGTTCTTATATCATATCTGTAACATCGAATTCTTCCCCTAGAAGCAAAATAATAAGAATTGAAGTGGTATAGAAATCCCTAATACCAACCATTGACAGATAGTAAACGTAAATGTTTAAAAACAGCAAACAGAGTAGAATAACCCAATCATTTAGGGGTGGGAGTTTACCTCTGATGAAAGAAAGAGATGAGTTTGATGACGAAACCGCAAGATTTGGATCAGATGCACTTCGGGGGTTCTCATTTGAGGATCCAGAATTAACCTTGAGGTTGAAAACATGGACCGTTCCCTTGTCACTTGAGACTGCTAACCACTGGGCAGTTGAAGAGAATGCCAAACTATAGATTTCTGCTCTGTCTGCACCCCTCCTTACCTGCAATGTATCCAATTAACTATCATACATCCATAATTCTACCAACCCGTAATCATACGTCTACACCAGTTAAGACTTCCAATGGAGGAGGAGGGTTGCACCCTCCTCAATGCTCAAACTGGAGAAAACAATCTTCCTAAGTCCACTAAGCAAAAGCATACAGAAAACAAACATGTATTGACCTCGTAATGAACGGTATCTGATTTAAAACACTGAAACACGAATCCAGTACAAACTGAAATATAAATCACCATGCCAATGAACTCTAACCTGCAACTTACAGCTGCTTTTGAATTAAGCAAAGCCCCTAAATTTATATCCAAAACTTGAAACCCTAAATACTCAGTCATTAGAAGTAAATTTTTAACACCGCCCCTGTTAATGGTAGAAGAAACTACCTCTAACTTAAGAATGTTCGAACCCTGTACAAACTGAAATATAAATCACCATTTTGATGAACTCTAAGCTGCAAATTATACTTGATTAATACTACTACAAGGCTTCAAATTAAGCAAAGACCCTAAATTCATATCCGAAATTCGATACTAAGCAATCCCAATTCTCTCTAATCATAAGAAGTCTCTATATTCAAGAACTTCAAGCTCAAATACATAACACATTTGCATTGAAACTTCATTATACCACTAAAAGGCTTTCAAATTAAGTAAAACCCCTAAATTCATATCCAAAATTCGATACCAAGCAATCCCAATTCACGTCTAATCATGAGAAGCCCCAAAATGTTCAAGAACTTCAAGCTAAAAAAATATAACATATTGCTTTGAATTATGACCAAGTTCAGATATTTTCAAGCTAAACTGAATAAAAATTATACCTCTTGCAGCAAAGTTCCATCGAGAGTATTGAATATCCGAACAAGAGTCCCTTATTGCTGGCGGTGGCGAGCAGCTGGCCGTCCGGCGTGAGTGCAAAGCAGGCAAGCCTGGAATCATGAGCCATGATGAACTTGGTCCGCTTCGACCCGTAATGCTCCACCCTAACCTGCCCCTTCTGCAGGCCAGGGCACACCAGCACCAGCGACCCCACCACCTGCGACACCGCGCACAGCCCCTTGGGGTTCGCGATCGTCTCAATCTGGTGCAGCAGCTTCAAGTCGGCGAAATTGTACACGAATATCTTCTGCTCTAAAACGACCACAATTCGGTCCCTCCGAAGACGCACGGATCGGACAACGGAGCGGAATGAGAGCTCCCCGATGCACCGCCCCTGGTGGTCGTCCCAGATCATGACTTTACTGGTCGGGTACTGAGGGTCGGGCCCACCGCCGACTATGGCCAAGATGTTGCAGCGAAACAGCATCTCGACGACGCCGATTCCGCCCCCGTTGTCGAAGTCACGGCGGAAGAGCTCGCGGAACGGGTCGCAGTTGTAGATCCGGAACCCGTGGTCTGTCCCCACGGCGAAGCAGGCCTGGTCTTGGTTAAAGCAGACGTGGAAGAGCGACGGAGGCGAGCGGGGAGCCGGAGGAGGAGACTCCGGGGGCGAGGAAGAGAAGGGCATGTTGTTGTGGAGGTTGTGGTCAGAGTTAGGGTTTGGAGGCGATTGGGGGTCGTGGTTGTTATCGCTGGAGTCAACGACAGAGGTAGGGTTGTCGTCGGTGGGATCGGAGAGGAAGGCGGCGGCGGAGGAGTTGGGGTCGGGCCAGGTGGTAGCCAAGGCGGAGAGGGTGGCCATGGGAGGGGGATCTCTGGGTGGTGGGATTTTTGAGGATTCTGAGGGGTACGTTTAGATGATCGGGAACTAGAAGAGGATAGGATGCGCTAAAATTACTGTTTGAGCCTTTTCGGAATTGGGCAGAAGGGGAACAGGAAGGGAGGTTTTGGTGGCAAATTTAGGGAGAAGAGAGGGGCAATATTGTCATTGTAAAAACACGGGTGAGTTTATTCGTACCGGTGGATTGGAGTGCACGACAAAAGCGGAGATGTGTTTCGCGTCGAAACCACGGAACGTATGATGGGAAAGCATTCATTTTCGGCGGGGTAAAATTGTAATTTAATGATGAAAAAGGGGTTTTAAAAAAGTGCGCGCCGTTGCCGGGGATCGAACCCGGGTCACCCGCGTGACAGGCGGGAATACTTACCACTATACTACAACGACCTACTTGTTAAACGAATGAAATTACTCATATTTAATAGTTGATCTTTTTATCTTCGATAAATAAATGCGATTGCAAGACGATTTCTTATGTGTACCATAAGTGTACCAGAAATCTCACCCACCAACCACTCCTCCCATAAGTGTACCATTCATTTCAAAGACAAAATCCTTCTTCATCGCTAACTCTTGGATTGAAAAAAACTGTCCATGTTGTTTCTTCATCTTCACTCATCGTTTCTAACAGAGCCGTGAGAAAAAGTGCTCGTGCATTCACTCAGAAACATGCCGGAAGAAGAACTAGGAAATGATAATTAACATACCATCACGCTGTTTCCAAAGGAGCAGTGGCAAACTGTCAGCTTTGCATCCAAGTACCTTGAAAGAATTTTCACATCCATGTAGGTTGGTTCGTCTGAGGAGGTGTAAACACGAAACACTACATTCAAACCTCTTTGTGCAATTTGCTCCTATCCAAATAGTACTATGCATGTAGAAATTAACGTAAAAACAGAATAATTGCGAGGCTTTTTTACTTTGGTTCGCTCCATTCTCGATATTCTTCAAGAATTCCATGTCACTTTCTTTCTCACTCTGCACAACCTGCTGCAGTTCCCCAAATAATCCAATTCTACAAAAGTGCCAGTATTTAACCACAGTTCAGAAATCAGTCCGGAATTCACTAAAGATCAACTGCACTTGTTTAACAGGATCGTACCATTTACCTTAATGGTTTAGGCACTGCAACAAGGGTTCTGTCACTTAGAGCTTCCTGAAATCGATCCACCAATGTTTGCCTCTTTACCTCCAGTTTATCAAGCTTCTAGAATTTGATCTTCAGCCTGCTAAAGAATATATGTTAAATATGGTACTGATTTGAACTGGAATAAGCCTATAAGGAAATGAGAAAAGGGAGATACCTCGCTATCACTTGGCGATCCAGAGCCTAAGTGCTCAGGGGAGCTTTCACTGTCAATTACTCTATCTCCGAGTGAAGATACCATTTTCATAGAAGGTTGCACCGTTTTACATCTTTTTCTATGATACTGAAACAGAAACTAGATCAAACAGAGAACAGAGAACAGAAGATGTAAATGAGGAAAAGAAGAGAAAAACATGTTTGAAGAGAGAACCATTTTAGAAATTTCTCTCAGCATCGTTGTCTTATCCTGAAGGCCATATAAAAGCTCCGCCATTGACTGCTCAATAGATCCATGCCCAAGTTCATTGACTTCAATAGGCACAATCTCCAACTGATTTTCCTCCTCTCCTTGAATATAGTGAATAAACTCAAAATCCAAATATTCTTCGGTTATAGGCTCAATTGTGTTCAACATGTCAGGCACTTCTTGAACCTCGAATGACACATCCTGTTCGTTCTTAGCTATAGAAATGCAAGAGGGTTCGTCCTTGTGAGTCATGAAATGGAAGGAAAATCTTGGCTTGCCTTTGCTTTTTGATTCTCGAGTTTAACAGAACACTAGGTTGTGACAATGTAAACTGGATGAACGATCACCTTTACCTTTGGAAGATTTATTCACTTCCGAATAATCAGATTTTGATGATGAACACGACGCTTTTTCATTCAACCGCATGAGTGCCTCAGCTTCTTTACTCGCTGCAGACCAAGTGTATGATTTGTCTTCTTTCTCACTTCCAATGCAATGAACGTCATCCCTCTGCAACTTTTTAGCACCAAGTGTAACAGAAACTCTCGAGCGCATGTTGTTCGCCTTTTCCAAAAACAGTTAACAAGCACATTACTCTTTGCATTAGAACAGAATACCGAAATAAGATATCTCTATATCCGAGTGCATACTACCTGTTAGGGTAAAATTGGCAATCCCTGACAAATTGCCTGAGTCTGTAATAGCTTAGACTTGTTATATATTTTCAATTGTAATAGTTTAAGTCTAGGAAGGGTTCTCACACTTTCGATGCAAAGATGTTACCTACACGCGATAAATATTCAGGTACGTTTGCATGCATGCATCCAACAACATTCATCTATATTTCATATTATTGTTTTGAGATAGGACTCTTAACCATTGTGTGGTTTATCTTTTCAAATAACTTATCCTTTCTTTATCACTTAATAAAACACGCATGCAAAAGAATCTGATTGTATTGGAACTTATCAAACCGAGTGTTCAAACCGTGTTTTGAAACTTAAGTGATTGCATGTTGGTGGGAGTCATCTAACTCATGGATGCCGTCCTTATCAATTCAAACGGTTGCGGTGCTTTTGATATATATGGGAAGTCAGGGAAGTGCTCAGTTTTAAGTCGAATATATGCATGTTATTCTTAAAAGATACAAGGCAGCAGCTTTGTGATTTTAAAATAACATTATTTTGAGTGGCTGCCACATTGTGGTTTTTGATGAGCATGTGTTTTTAAAGGGAACCATTTATGCAGAGAAACTTATTTGATTAAAAAGATTTTTGAAGAAGCATCAGCTTGGTTTTTGTGTACGCAGAAAAACATTTTGAATACTACTGTTAGCTTACGGTTCCAACAGCATGGGTTTTTAAAATAAGATATTATTTTTCATGCTGTTTTCTTTGAGGTTTTAAATTGAATATCAATTATGGAAATGAGCCTTGTGATTTTCGTAATTGATTGTTTTCCAAACAAACACTTCATCATATAAACATTCTGCATGATCGAGTTAGCATCGTGCAAAGTTCGAGGAAAAGGTGATTGACGGTTGCGTTAGTACCGTGCCACTTCAACTCAAGGACTGAAGAAAGATCGAGTAGCAAAGCGCGAAGACAAAGCTGCCAACTGGTATGTATGTCTAGTTGATGAGTTTTGTAAGTCTTTATGTATTCTTTCTTTCTTAGTGCTTCCTGGCTTAGTAGCCCGAGGATTTTCCCAGTGGTGGGTTTTGCCTCGTTAAATCCTACATCATGTGTGTGCTTTTTATATTCATGTTGAATATTTGTGTAGGATTAATTTTGCATAACTGATTAATCGAAACCATAATTTGCTTTAGCATTAAGTTGTCATTTATAGATTAAGTTAGTACCCATCCTAGGACTTTCAATTGGCACCAGAGCAGGTCACTAAAAATATCTAGTGAGATCCGTGGGTAGTCTAGGATGAATCGTGCTATGGGTTCAGTTTCTCATCCACCACATTTTGATGGTGACAACTATGCTGCATGGAAAGCAAAGATGAAATCATTTCTTTGGGCGCTTGACGACAGAGTATGGCTTGCGGTTGAAGAAGGTTGGGAACCTCCAACAGTTAAAGAAACCAAAGACGAAGGACAGTCTTCGGTAACCATGTCGTTGCTTAAGCCTAGAAGGAATGGAGCGAAGAAGAACGCAGCTCTAGCACGTTCAATCAAAGGGCACTGAATGCGTTGTTCACTGCCGTTTCGCCTGAGCAATTTAACTACATTAGTAAATGCATAACGGCGAAAGAAGCTTGGGATATTCTTGAAGTTACTCATGAAGGTAACTCTACTGTCAAAGAATCCAAGCTTCAAAATCTCATCACTAAATTTGAAAATATCAAAATGCTAGATGATGAGAGTTTTTCTGACTTCTATGCTAAGCTTAGTGTAATTGTCAATGGTTGTCACAATCTTGGTGATAGCATTCCAGAGCATAGGGTTGTTAAGAAAATTCTAAGATCTCTTCCTTCAAGGTTTCATGCAAAAAGGACAGCTATAGAAGAATCGAAAGATTTGAACACTTACAAGTTGGAACAATTGATTGGATCATTACAAACATATGAGTCCGACTTTACAGAAGGCAAGAAAGGGAAAAATGTTGCCTTTAAAGTCAATAATGAAAAAATGAATGAGGATCCATTTGAAACCTTGACTCAAGATGAATTTGCTCTTCTTACCAAACAAGCTAGGAAATTTTTGAAACTTAGAAGTTCTAGGGGACGTGAAAATCGAAACAATTTTGATTCAAACTCCAAAGTCCCTCGTTCTAGAGATGGTTCTCATGGAAATACATCTAAGTCTGTCAAACTTGGTGAAAAGAAAAGTTGGAATGACAAAGATAAGTGTTTCGAGTGTCAAGGGTATGGACATCATGCTCATGAATGTGCCAATACTCTTAAAAGGCTGAAAGATGAAAAGAACAAGGCTTTAACTTCCACGTGGAGCGACAGTGATTCAGAGAAAGACACGGCATCTGAAGATGATGAGGAAGTGGTTGCATTTTTTGGAACTTTTGATGGATATGAGACGGATGATTCGGAAGTTGAAGAGCCTGATTCCGTAGAAGTCTTACAAAAGTACACTGCACTGTATGATATCACCATGAAAGTGAAGAAGGAAAATGAAGAACTGAAAAATAAACTCGTGCAGCTTGAAAGTGAGAAGAATGAAGCAGAAATCGAGCATCAATCTCAAATGGAACATGCAGAAAAGCTACGAGAGTCAATGTTGGAGAAGTTACATATGCTAGCATCAGACAACAAAGGTCTTGAAAATGAATTAAGTAACATAAAGAAGAAAGTTGAAGAGTTTAGCATTGGCTCAAGCAAAATTGACAAAATGTTGAGCTATGGAAAGATTTCAGGTGATAAAAGCGGTCTAGGTTTTGATATAACTGGAAGTTCGTCCACTTCTGTTACCAAGTTTGTTAAAGCGTTACAAGAACCTAGCATGAAAGTGAGTAGTGATGAACCTTTTGGAAATTCGTGTATCACTACAAAAGAGTCAAATTTCGTAAGAAATTTTGTTGGACCAAAGAAGTTCATTAGGTCAAAAAATTTTATTCCTATTTGTTACTTCTGTGAAAAAATAGGACATATTAGACCTAGGTGTTACAAGCTTCAAAAGGAAAATAAGACTAAAACTTCTTGGATTTCTGAAAAATCAAATCTCAAAGGGAGATTTGTGGCTCACCCAAAGGGAATGAATAGAATTTCAAAAATAATGCCTAACTTCCTTACTCCAAACTTAAAGCAAGTATGGAGAAGAAAAGAGACTCAAATTTGTCTATTGGATAAGGTGTCACCTTCATCTGAGGAAGACAATCTTACATGCTTGGTGGCATTCACTGCTCTCTCATCTTGTCAGTCTGATACTTGGTATCTAGACAGTGGTTGCTCAAGGCACATGACTGGAGACAAAAGATGGTTCACATCTTTCACCGAGGATTGTAAAAATGGAGCAGTCACGTTTGGAGATGGAAAAAGAGCAAGGATCGTTGGAAAAGGAGAAATCAAAACACTAGGAATTCCATGCTTAAAAAATGTCATGTTAGTGGATGGACTTAAAGCTAACCTAATTAGCATTAGTCAAATTTGTGACGATGATGATGCTGAAGTACTTTTCAATAAATTGAAATGTAGTGTAAAGGTTGCTAAAGAGGTTGACAGTTTTGAAGGAAAAAGGTCTAAGGACAATTGTTATTGTGTGAATGCAAATGAGTTACATGTGTCTGACATATGCAATAAGGCAACTGATGATATTTTGGATTTATGGCATAAACGATTAGGTCACATGAACTGTAAGGATTTGATCAAGCTTTCCAAGAAAGAGTATGTGAGGGGCTTACCGATGTTGACTGGAGAACTTGGAATTTGTGGAGAATGTCAAGTGGGAAAGCAAACAAAGAGTGCACACAAATCCACAAATTACATCTCAACTTCACGGCCTTTAGAACTGATGCACATGGACTTGGTTGGACCAGTACAAACCGAAAGCATTGGGGGAAAAAAATACATACTTGTCTTGGTGGATGATTTCTCACGCTTTACTTGGGTTGCCTTCTTGCGAGAGAAATCTGATGCATTCACTGCATTCTTTGGTTTATTGAATAAAATTCAAAATGATAGAGTTAATTCAAATGATCGTGTGGTAAAACTCAGAACTGATCACGGAACTGAATTTGAAAACATATCGTTTTCTAAGTTCTGTGATGAAAAAGGTATTGATCACAATTTTTCTGCTCCTATTACTCCTCAACAAAACGGAGTTATGGAACGAAAGAATCGTGTTTTACTTGACATGAGTCGTGTCATGCTGACAAGCGCTCGTTTGGCAAAGCATTTCTGGGCTGAAGCAGTTAGCACTGCGTGCTATACGGCAAATAGAGTCTATCTTAGACCCGGTACAAAATGCACACCTTATGAGATCTGGAAAGGGAAGAAGCCAAATGTTAAGCATTTGCGAGTATTCGGTAGTATATGCTACATTTACAGAGATAGAGAAATGTTAGCAAAATTTGATTCAAGAAGTGATATTGGAATTTTTATAGGATACTCAATCACAAGTAGAGCATACAGGGTGTTCAACAAGAGAACACAAAATGTTATGGAGTCCATTAATGTCATTGTGAATGACTCTCTTTTAAATGTTGAACAACCTGCCTCAGATGAAGAATTCTTTCAAAGCAAATCAATTGATGGGTTATCCACTACTCAGGGAGAAGTGCACCAAAATATTGACTCAACAACAGTTTTGAGGAAAGGACACAAACAAGTGCAAAAAGATCATTCCAAGTCAGACATCATTGGTGACGTAGAATATCAAATGTTGACAAGAAGTAAAACTACTGCTGTAGTAAACTTTACGTGCTATATATCAAAGATTGAGCCAAAAAATGCCAAGGAAGCTCTTTTAGATGATGACTGGATTATGGCCATGCAAGAGGAACTAAATTAATTTGTTCGTAATGATGTATGGTACCTTGTTCCCCGACCCCAAGAAACAAATGTTATAGGAACAAAGTGGGTGTTTCGGAACAAAACTGATGAACATGGCATCATCACG